TAGGGTTTAGGGTTTAGGACTCAGTTCATGCATAATGCACACCCACAGCAAGGACCTACGCCTCAGCGCAAAACTGCACTCAACTATGCTCCCGCTTAAACTCAAAGCCCGTGGTTTTGGGGCGGAGTTTGGAGCTGTAAAGCCTCAACCGCTAGAAGCAGCAATCATCAGGTTTGGGGCTTAGGCCAACAATGGCAGCAATGATAATGTAGGAACCTGATTAAGAAGCCTTGGGTCTTTATTAGGGTTCTCTATATGAGTCCGAATATTTTGGGGTCATAGGGCCAGGGTTTCTTAATCAGGTTCCTACATCAATGAGAAGAGGCTGTCGTCGATTTTTTCGCCGGCTTGGGAACACTGTAGCCGTTCAGGTTCAGGCGCGGCCCGACTCGAATGGCGCGGAGCTCGCAATGAGCGGGCTCCTGAGGCTTTACAAGGCCCACCCCGGGCGAGCGCGGAGAGCGCGAAGAAGCCTCGGCCGCTGTGTTAGGGCTTGGGGTTAGTGTAGGGAAAGAATTGTAGGATAAGCCTAGGGTTTGGCGTTTGGCGGGTTAGCCTATGTGTGAAGGCATTATTCAACAGTCCCCTGAAAATTCCCGCTCTTCTGCTATGCAGGTAACATCATAAACGCAGGGACTGAGGAGTTATTTATGAACACAGTATAGAAACCCTCGAAACTCGTTATTCAGGCTTCGACATTGCCTGGACCCTCAGGGACAGTCATCACCCTAAAGCTTTGCAATGCAGGAACAAACTATACATCCGGCATGACCAACGAGCCCAAACCTCCACGGTTTAGGGTTTAGGGTTTAGGTTTCAGGGTTTAGGGTTTAGGGTTAACCCCAGCCCTAAACCGCAGTCAACAAAGGAAGCAAGAACCAGGGGCAACGTGATGAACAAAGGGTTTCGATTCTGGCGGCTTGGGGTTTATGAGGATGCCTTGTGCTGGACCCTACGGTTGATGATATAAATCCTGCATTACCCGTAAGAAGGAATATACCATAATTCCCATAGTTTAGGATCCTTACTGTAATGCAGGATTTATATCATCAACATTATGACCCGACGGCTGCCTTCTCTGAGAATGCCAAACCGTGAAATTGTGAACTCCAACATCCTAAAGCCATATAATATACTCTAAACCCTGAACCCTAAACCCTAAACCGTGACATGAACGGCTAAACACCAAACCCCCGTATCCCCAACATCATCTAGAGCCGAGACCCCAAACCCAATAACCCCCCAAAACATCAAAAAGCCCTGACGCCCGTTTAGGGTTTAGGGTTTATAGGTTTAGGGGTTTAGGGTTTAGGGGTTTAGGGGTTTAGGGTGTAGGGGTTTAGGGGTTTAGGGTTTAGGGTTTAGGGTTTAGGGGTTTAGGGTTTAGGGTTTAGAGCCTTATACAACCCTTAAACACTTGCTCCTTGAATACTTGTCCGCTACAACCCCCCGTTTGAAGCATCAAAAAGGGAGGGAGCTTCACCTAAGCACCAAGGCTCTCAGTGAGTATGTTGTAAGCGCAGCTTAGCGCAGTTTTGCGCGGAGTGCTTATACTCTCAAACTTAGCCCAACTAGCTCTTATAAATAATGTAACTATACGTATAATTACTTATAACCCCAATGAAGGTACTTATACCCTACTTACTAAGTCCCAGAGTACTTGCTAAGAGCTTAGAGATGTTTAGGGGTCGGTTCAGCAGTAAACCGACAAACACAGACTGAAGACTCCAAAAAGCTTCTGACCATGGTTTAGGGTTTAGGGTTTAGGGTACCCTAAACCTTCTGACCCTGGAGCCCTAAATCATGAACAGCAACAGCACTAACCCAAATGAACAGTCATTACCGGCACTGCTCATGAAGAAAACAACGATAACCCATGGCCATCAGCACAACTACACTAAGAACAAGCCGGCACATGCTGACAAGCACATCACCTTCATCACTATCGGCATCAGCTCCACGAATCATCACCTTCATCGTCACCTTCATCCGTCGTAGTCATCGCCAAACCTCGTCACAGACAGAAACGCCCCCAAGAAGCTGTGAAGTGGAAGGTCCCGCGAAGTTGTTCCGGCACCTTCCAACTTTTCGGCGGTCTTGGTCCCAGATGCCTGGATTCGAATGGATGCCGTCGGAAACCCAGCGAGAAGCGCAGAGGCAGATTCAACGCTGTGATTTTTAGATCCTCTGAAAAAGTAGAATTCCGGAGCCGCGATGCAGAGGTCCCTGCAGCATCGGCATTTGAATGAGCTTGACAGTGCAACCACGAGAAGCCCCACAGAGCAAGGATGCCAACACCAGGACGTTTGCTTTGAGTTCAAGGCCGGGTCTTCGCACTCTTCCGAAGAGCCCTCTGTGACAGTCTCGGCGAGAAGAGCCTCTCTTTGCAAGGCGAGTTGCGGAGCAGAAGTTGCAGCGAGTGCTAGCGATGCCTCTTGTCAAGTCCTGCCACATCCCGTCGCTATGCTACTAGGAGCATAGCTTCAAAAGTACGGAATGTGTCACAGGACGTACAGCACAGCGTCTAGATTGCGTGGCTACTCACTGTCATCGCCAATCACCCGGCACAGATACCCTTTTCGCAAACCAGGCAGCTTACACCATGTTGCTAAGGCAGCGAGATCTGCTCCCGGAAGCAAACGACAAGCTAGCGCCCACAATCGCCCACAGTGGGAACAGCATTCGTGTATCAGGCTGGCGTGCGCTTGGTGTTCGACAGCATACTTTGGAAAATCCTGATAGCCGCAAGAACAAGTGACTGGCTCGTGCTCGGAACCATGTCGAGGCTATCAGGTAGAGTAGCCTCCATTGACTTCAAACGACTGGAGGCACTCTGGTGGCCTCTCTTACCATGTCCATTCACGTTTCACTCCTCAATGGCTTTGCCAGACTGCAGAGGAACAACTTCCCGGCGAAAGCAAAGAAACACTTGGAATCCCAGGCAGATCTCTCATCACGCGGTGTCGCTCTAAAGTGATGCTCGCGACTTATCAATCCAGAATACTACTGGCATGACTTGTCCGCCCATGCTGTCTGGCCACGTGCCGGACAGCTGGGATACCGAGCGTACGAGAGGTGCAGGAGAAGCCAAGATGAAGTTGGCATGGTCTTTGCATCTGCCATCGAGCAACTACGAGCAGAGTTTCCGGAGAACGAAGTGAACCGCTCGATGCACATCGGTGCTTCCGGATTGGGCGGCTACTCACGGTCTGAGTCTGGCTCCTGGCACGCATCCCCTTCTCGCAAGCGGCACACTACCCTGTTCGCAAAGAAGGTGTAGCACGCCTCGCAGCTAAGTAAGCTTCACAGACAGAACTTCCACGGCGAAGAACAACAACCCTACTGCTAAACTTGACGTGCTGGAATGTTTTGCTTAGACCCAGCAGGAGCCGTTGACAGTGACGCCTGCAGGCGATGGAAGGAAAAGGTCACGAAAGCCACGCCACGCGAGCAAAAACAAGCAGCTGGTTTGTGGCCGAAATCATGTCGAGGCTGTCAGGCAGAATAGCCTCCATTGGCTTCAAACGACTGGAGGCACCCTGGCGGCCTCTCTTACCATGTCCACTCACGTTTCACTCAGAGGCTTGCCAGGCTGCAGAGGAACAACTTGTCGGCGAAAGCAATGAGGCACCGCGAATCCTAGCCAGATATCCGGCCACGCGATGCAGCTCTAGCTCGATGCTCGTGATTTATCAATCCAGAATACTACTGCGATGCTTCGCACGCCCACGCTGTCTGGCCACGTGCAGGACAGAAGGGACATCGAGGAATCGAGACGTGCATGAGAATCCAGGATTGATCAACGGCCCGGTTTCACCCTCCATCCACACCTTACCGCTAAGCCACTACATTACAAAGCTTCTCAAGAAGAGACGCTCCACGCGTTCGTACCGAAGAATCGAAACAACTTGTGGAAACGACCAAAGGTGCTTCTATACTAACCCTCGGGTTCCTAACCCCACTCCTAAGCCTTAAACCCTGATGCCCCCAACCTCGCACAGCGAAGACACTGCAGATGCTGAGGTACCTGCGCCTCTCACAGCATCGTGCCGGTATGGGTTAGAAGGGCGGATGGGATTAGGGCTTAAGGCTTGCGGGTTTGGGGGCCGAGGGAGGGGACATTGGTTGAACAGAAACTGAAACGGCCCAAGAGTAACCTTGATAGCAGCATGAGAATCTGGGAGGTTGCTCCACAACATCCTCCTCGCTCTGTTCAGGCCGATCCTCCTCCACAAGCGTCCACGGCAGCATGCCCGGGTGGAGTTTCATCAGATTTTCCGGGACTTCCCAGGGCATGGCATGAAAGAGATACCATGAAGCCACTAAGCTACTAAAGGCAGGAGCTGAAGGGACTCAGGTTCACAGATTTGCCCCCGGAGACCTTACTCGAATCTGTGAGCTGGCTTCTTCTCCTCGTTGTAAGGCTTTTCGGCGCATTTTATGCCCGACGGGGATTGAACTGAAGGGAGAACTTCGAAGGAAAACCGCTCGGAAGACCTCGTGGATTTTCCCTACGAGGTGGTGGGTCGGCGCCTTTTCCGGCGAGGCTTTTGTGACACAGAGCGCCGCATCCTGCGCAGCGTCGCTTTGGGCATCTTCGAGCCACTGAGATTGAGGCAAGATCCGCTTACCGGGCTCGCTCCTCGCGGAGACCCTGCCACCCCGAGCCATCTCCTTTTTGTCGGTGTTTTTTGGCGATCCCTCTTCCGGCTTCTTCCCCTTCCCATGGCCCCACCCCAGAAAAGACGCCTGGACAGAAGAGAAGCTGTGGAGACTCAAAGGGACAGTGGAGGCCCAGCAGCTGGGATGGCTGAGGAGGTAGACCACGGGCCTCGCAGGCGAGGGCCGGGGCCTCAGGCCTTTCTGGAAGCCTCCGGAAAAGTAGCTCCCCTGACTTCCTGGACTCACGTCTTCTGCCGGAAGAGGGGCCCTGATTGTGAAGTAAAGCAGCTCCTGATCACAAGGAGCCTCCCGCTGCCAGGCTTTCCGCCAAGGCCTAGGCCTCAAAGGCGAGGCGACGGCGGCGAAGAGCGGAAGGAGCTCACGGCGGAGCTTCGGGAGCCCCGAGATGAACCGCAAGAAGCGACCTGGCTCTCTTCGGAGAGATGGAGGGAGGAAGGAAAGATGGAGGGAGGAAGGAAAGGCCTAAGGACGGCTTTTGTCTCTGCGAAGGAGGCCCGGAGAAGGGGCCGGGGCCTTCGAAATCCTGCAGAGGGGAGGAAAAGGCAGAGACTTCTGTGAGGGGAGGAGGGCAATTCTGAGCACCTGTAAGAATTGCACATCATCGGAGTCCTCGCAGCTGGGTTTCAACTTCTCTTTCGCACCTCTGAAGCCCGAGATAAGACTTCTAGGATCCTTCATCTCTGCATCAGGCACCACACTTTCCTCGGCCCCGCCGTTTCAATGGTCCTTTCAGGCCCCCTGCAACCAGGCCACCCATCCTAGGCCACCCCAGAAAGGCGACAGCTCCGCCCATGGCGTCACGTAACTCCCAGGCCTTACGAGAGATGGCCCGACTTGAGAGGCCGGGCTCTTGGGCCCAAGGCCTAAGAAGCTGTGGGAGTTGGGAAGAGGCCGGAAAGCTGGACGGCTGAAAGACAGCAGAAGAAGATGCGGTTTAGGGGCTCGCCAGAAGGCCAAAACAGATGGGACCTCCACCAGAACTTGGCATCTTAAGCATCGACCCCGTAAGCACAGCCTCTGCGATGGATTTCTCGCCACTTCCCTGGAGCATTCAAGCGACTGATGCTTCCTCTTCAAGGTGGGCAGGCGAGCTAGGGAAATCCGCGCCGTCTCCTGCTTAGCTTCGGGTTCAGAGGCCGGGACACAGGCCTCTAAGGGTTCAGGGTTTAGGGTTNNTTTAGGGTTTAGGGTTTAGGAAGGAGAAGAGCTGCAGATCTGAGATGCAAGCATCGTCGAAGGACTTGGCTCCCTCAACGAAAGCCGTGCGGAAGGGATGGCAAGTCTTCAGACACTTGGGGGAGACCAGGGCCAGGATTTTAGGAATTACTGCAGGATTTCTCGACTCATGAAACCCTAAACCCTAAACCC